CTTTCCATTTAGCTTCCTACATTCCTCCTTTTGTTTTTCCCACTCTGTTTGTTTTCTGGATCAGTCATTTTCCATCTCACAGGCATTCTGGCAATTTGGATAGGCCAAGCTGTCAGATAGCTAACAAGAAAACCATTGATGGCGACAGGTGAGATCTCATAATAAACCTTTGAACATCTCTTTATCACTTGTCTGTTTATGTTTTCTACATCAGTTTATGCTTATTTACTATTTTTACCTTTGTTTGTTATTGGTTTACCCATTTCAGGTTTTTTGCTTGTCTGACTTTTATATTTCATTACATAATTTTTTCTTTTCTTTTCGCCCTTGCCCTTTTCTGCCGTGGCTGTGTTTAGACTTCAGCCCACCTCTATCCTCAGGGGTGGCAGGAGGAGGAGAGAGCCTCCCCTCAGGCCCTTTGGCCAGACCAGCTTAGGGGGTTCCTGCCCTAACTCCCCACGAGCTGACAGGTGCATGCTTGGAGCCCCTCAGAACTTGGCTGCACCTGTAGCTGCCTGTAGTTGTGCACTGCTGCTTATTGTGATGTCTCAATCGTATAAAGTCAACAATACAAAAAATGACTAATTTCACCTACGAATCTCAAATCAGCTTTCTTGTACTTCTGTGACTACAGTACATAGTGTAGTAGACAGTAGCTGCTTCCATCCAAAGATTCAAATTAAACTTATGCACAAAACTGGAATATCGCATTAAAACATATGCTAATTAAGTACTGTTTCCATCCAACGAGTCAAAGGGAACAAAATCGACACTTCCTGGTAAACTAAGGCACTAAATATCACTAAGAATATAGGAGAAGCCACTGAATATAATAATTTTCATATATGATATAAATTACTTGCACCTCAGAGCGAGCAGACGAAACACAATAAATGCTGCCAATGCTTTCGGAGGTGGATGCTGTTGTTTGTGAACGCAGTCGTGTAAGACAATTATACAGAAATACTTTGACGACAGACTTTGCTCAGGCATTTCAGAATGACCAACATATAGATGCTGTGAATGAGATCGGTCCGCTGCTAGTCAAGTTATCCCGTCTCATTTCGCAAAGTCACATGACTTTTTCAATGCGCATGGAGGAATTTATTCGGTAAATGTGTTTCCATCGTAGTTTATGCACATTTTTAGAAGTTTCCATCCAGCGGTTTTTTTATGCGATACTCCAAAATTTGCATTAAAAAAGTGTTGGGAAGGTTACTTTAGAAAAGTAATAGGTTACAGATTACAAATTACCATATTTAAAATGTAATAAGTAGTGCAATTATTTCAGTTACTTTATTAAAGTAATGTACTGTAACTGATTACATTTGATTAATTTTTTATTACATTTCTAAATTTCTAATGAAAGTTGAATCATTTTGAAAGATTTAGAACAGACAGGGTTAACTTTACAGTAGGACTCAACATGGATTACTGTCAGACTTTCAAAATCCTTTATCACTTGAATTAAGATGATTATTTAATTTTATAGCACAGCCGCACAAAATCAGACTTTAGCACTGCTTTTTACTTATTTAAAATCATAAGATATAGTTTAATAGTTATGATAATGTTTTTGAAATCAAATCCTTGTATAGGTACAACAGGAAACACTGGCACCAGTGCCTTGGAAAAAACGTTAATCTTAAAAAATAAAGCATATACATAAACCCAAATAGGAAATAAAACAGTTATCAAAGAAGCATGTGTCCTATTATGTGTCCTAAAGTGCTGAAACATTGGTGTCTCTTATTTTAGAGCAGTCACTGCAATTTGGGAAAGAAATCAATCAAATCTGTATGCATGTGAAAATATTCAGATGTAACCCTCCTTTGCAATTGTTAGCATTTTCTAAAGTAACTGTAATTTAATCACACATTTATTCTCAGTAACTGTAACAGATTACAGTTTCATTCATTTTGTAATTAAATTACGTTACATGTAACTAGTTACTCCCCAACACTGATAGTAGAATGAAATATCTTTTAATCACATTTTAAAATTGTTCATCTGATGGAAAGTAGTAATCAGACCATTTTTCTACTTTAAATTTTGACAAAATCTCTCTCTTCTCAGAGAACTTCAGCATGGTGGACATTATTCCCCGGCAGGGACCACGTCATTAGGGCGCAGGGGCAGACAGCTGCCACAACTTCCTGCAAAGAGCAGCAGTATAGAGCAAGGTAAGCAATTCATTCTCTCTCTCTCTCTCTTTCTAAATACTCACAAACTCAGACAGCAGTAACCTAAAATGCAGTTACCATTCAAATTCACACCCCAAACCCATGAATCTGTCCCAGTGCCAGTTACCTTTATAAATGCCAGGTAATTTCATGGCTCCTTGGTCCGTAGCCTTTTTTTTTTTTCTTCATGTGGTCAACAAGTTGTTGATCTCTCTACCTTACTCCTTTCTGTCTCTTCTCATGCCATTTCTCATTCCTTCAACCCCATCTTCATGAAGACCATGTCAACAGTAAACCTGAGGAGAAACCTAACTCAGGTATCTCATTCCATTCTCTGCATTTTGCTCTAGAATTGATCCCTTGCTTGTCTGAATAATATCAGTTTTTACTCAGTGGTATACTGTATATTTCGTGTTCAAACTTAACAATATTTGGAACATAATGTAGTAACTCACCCAAGTTGGTTATTTGCTTGTCAACCAGCCTCTTTGTTCCAAAAACTGACTGACCATCTTTAGATGGTTTGTTGCTGGTCAAAGATGATTTATCAGTGTTAACAAGCTAATGGCCAGCTTGGACCTGTTAGAAACCAGCTACCATTGTTCCAAAATGTAGATACCAGCTTACATCGAAACACTACAGGCAGAACTATGGTCAATTTTGTGATTTTGGGCTTTTTTGCTTCCATAACATCTCCTTTCAGACTAGTAGAAATAAAACAGCCAATATATACAATTAAGTGTTTATTTTATTATCTATTGTAATTGTAGATTACAATATATATCTTTAAAAACCTTAGTACTATCATGATAACTCTCAGAGGATTTTAGCATGGTAATGTTAATGTATTTGTTCTTGGCGGAATAGATCTGCTACGCTGCTGCTGCTGAATTGCTGCTGCTGTTGGTTATTGCTGTTGTTGTAGATTATTGCTGCAAAAGTAGCATATATAATAGAGGCAGATCTATACAGGTGGAGCTGGGGAAGGTGGAGGGTTTCAGAGTAACTCTGTAAGTGCTGCAAAATGCTCTAGTGAGTGCTAACCAGCCATTTCAATATAAAGTAGCAAGCTTATTCGCTGTAACATGAACCAATCAGCTTGTGCCAAGTAGTTTTCCACTGTGAATATCATCAGTTTGCGCTAACCACAGTCTGCACTATCTAGAGTTTCTATGTTCTGAAGGTTTTTATGGAGGGGTTTGTTCATATAACATTCACTTGATTTATACACTGTAACATTTTATTCCTAAAAAAAAAAGTTGTTTTCTCTCTCTAGCTGTAGACTGTATTTTCAGATTTATGGAGTCATAAATATAGAAATACAAAATTCCTTTTGTAAAAACCTTTAATATGTCAACAATGGAATCTTGAACCTGGCTTCATCCAATGTTCAGATTTTCTGTTTTGGAAAATATGCAAATAAGTGCATATTTAAATAGATACTGTCCGTTTACATATTTAAACATTTCATTAAAACTTGTAATACAAAACAAAACAATTGTACTGTAATCAGTCAACTGGAGAAGTATGGTGATAATCTATTAGTTATATTTTTGTATCACCTTAAGCTGGATTTTCAAGCAAATTTTCATTTAATATTAATTTCCACCAAAAGTAACAATGTAAACAGGCAGAGATGTCGACTGTTGTCCAAATGTTCTTATCTGTCTGTGCTACTTTAAATGAGATTATTTTGTCGCCTGTTCCATTTTTCTGCTTTTTTCCCTTTCTGTCTTGATGTAGCACTAGCAGTGGAAGAGCGGGCTCGTCAGTTGCAAATGAGAGTACATTCCTATCGGCCAGGCTCTTCTGCCAGCTCTGGTCACGACCCAGAGGCAGAGCTCAAAAACAGGAGAGATGTGAGTGTTAAACTGCTTTTCAGGTCTCCAACTCATGTGTCTGGCAGTGCTGTTATGTATGCCAGGTTTTTAATTCCTATTAAAGATTAGTTTTTTTTTTGTCTTTGATGGTTTAGATGTATAAGGATCAGAAGAGGAGTTGTGATAGCATGTCTGCAAGGTCATCAGACAGTGACATGAGCGATGCATCAGCTATCTCCCGTGCCAGCAGTGCCTCACGGCTGAGCGCCACCAGCTACATGTCCATCCAGTCTGAGAGACCACACGGGAGAATCAGGTTAGCCTATTAAGAGACACATGGGATCATAATTTAACACTCGGCAAGTGTGTTAAACTGTTTAAAAATAGGATAAGTATAAATTGACAGTGGCTGTTAACTTTATTAGAAAATGCAACATGGTTGTAAAAAATGATAGTGTGAGCCTCTCTGATATTAAGCTACACAAATCAGACTTATAAGCCATCAAAAAATGTCTTCTAATAATTAGAAGTTTATCTAGGATGTCTAAAATGTTTTTGCAGGTTCCAAAAATAGTTGTAATCAGATTGTTACAATTTAAAATACTCATAATCAGATTGCAGTTACTTTTTTATTTATTACATGATTACTTAATATTTTTTTTAAAATGCAGTAAATTATTCATAATTCACTGATTCTCCACAATTCTTCTCTTTTATATATTAAATTTGATATTTTTAAGATTGGATTCATTATTAGCTTTATTAGCATCAATTTATTACAAACCTGCTGCAGTTCCTTCACAACGCCCAGTTTGGGAAAGCCTGACTTTATGTAATGTTTCATGCACTTCATGTTATTGATAACAAATAATGGAATATATTTTCTTTCTCTTTGTATTTAAATATAAATACGGTACAAGATTTTCTTATTAAAGTCAATGTGATCAAAGAAGTAGGTAAAAAATATCTAAAAGTAATCAAAAATAGATATCTAAAATTAGAAATGTAATAGATTACTACCTTTTTTTTTTTTTTTTGCTTCACTCTTAATTGCCAGTTGGGGTTATTAAAATTTTGGATTGATCTGGGTTTATTTTGGACCCTACACACAAAATCGGTATATTCAGCCTAGGTCTGTGAAGACAAGATTTAGGTCAGAGTGTACACATGTATATGTGTTTATAGGACATGAAAGTAAATGAAAATAGTTTCTTTCTCTTTAGCGCTTTGCTATTTTTTCCTTTCTCTGAAAAAAAAATCATATTCTGTTACAAAACCCTTAAAATTATATCAACATTCACTTGGATAGCTTATTTATCTTCCTTTACAACAATCATAATATTTCTCCCTAGTAAAATTTTACAATTATTCTATACAAAGCAGCAATTATTCAATTCAGGTCACATAAAAAATGATGTGTCCTCAGATTGTGATATTTCTTTGTTTGTTATTAGCCGTGTGTTTAACATTTGCATGCTCTTAGCTGTCTGTCTTGTGCATGGCTTGTTAAATTGTTATTTTCTGCATGATTTACTTTCCTTGCTATTATGGCTTGTGCTCTATTGCATGCATGCACATTGCATTGGGTGTCAAAGGTCAAAGTCGTTGGAGAGTTGTAAAGGAGATGAAAAGAAGGAGAGAAGGATTTCATGGGGGGTGAATGGAACAGACAACAGGAGGAGTCTAGGAAAGAGACGTTTCTCTGAGGAGCTTAAACGCAGACGTCATACGGTGGCTGGAGATGTGAGGTAACATGGACCAGCTCCCACTGCCCAAGTCTTCACCTTATCCACCACCCAATACAATTTTATCCTTACCTCATATCAGAAAAAAACAACAAAAAGAGCTTCTAGTACCTCCAGTACAGGGTAAAAATTTAGCACTCTTATAATCTTATTTCTGCTGATAGCACTGTTTATTTACATGTACTTTCTGCATTGTTATACCATCTAATTTGATAACAGAATTTTGCAAATCCAGTAACAGCACATAGAAATTTGCTCAACAAACTTCCTCATCTTGCCAGCCAACAGACTACTACAATCTGTCATACTTCACTGAGGCTGTATGATCCCTTCGTAGTTGGCTCAACCTCACCGCACATCTGGACATATGCCCAGTTCTTCTTCAACATTTGATGAATTACTGCTGCCATGATCACTTGAAAATGTATACAACATCTCTCTTGCATGAAATTCCATTTACCACCTGCACACCATAGTTGGTAATAGTGAAACCTTAATCACACTTACTTTTGTGAACATGGCACATTCTATAATAAGACTAATTTACATAGAAAGGAGTCAATGATGATGGTAAGAAGAAAAATAGCATTCCTGAAGCATAAACAGTAGAACATATCCTTAACAACGACAAGTTTAGGGGTTTTATTCCCAGCACGCATGAATTGATTAAAAAAGTATACCTTTAATGCAATTACATCACTTCAGATAAAAGTGTAACATGAAAAGGAAAATAATTGTTAATTATATGAATTATTAAATAATAATTCAATAATCCTTGAATTTGAAAATATGACTTTTTTGGGAAAAAACAATTATTACACTTATTTAATAAACACGTAACTTGTATTACACATTCTAAGTAACTAGATAATATTTAGTATATGTATATTATTTAGTATACACTCCTCTAGCTGAGTCTGGTTCCTCTTGACGCTTTTTTCCCCTCCACAACTTTCACAGTTTCCACAGTTTAAGACATTATTTATTTTAAAGTTGCGATGAAACCACATAAAATGTGATCTGTTGTGTATACAAATAAAAATGACTGTACTTGACTATAGAGGCACTAGAAATTGTATGCCCAGAGTGGTTAACCACAACCAATAAATATTACCAAATGCCTTGTAATAGAAATAGAAAACAGCATCTTTTCTTTTCCTCTTTTCCTCTCTCTTTTCTAATATATTTGGGCTTTACTAACCAATTAACGTTTCTGATCAATTTGAAGCCACACACTAGTTATCAATTTGAATGAAGTCTGCTTGGTTCAAACAAACATAGGCAGTTGACGTAAACTCATTTTGGGAAGTTGCTAGTGTGACATACTAAACGCTGTCTAAACCTTTTAAAATGAGCTAGTGAAGGCAAAATGTGGTTAAAAATAGTAAAAAACTTAAATGTGCTATTGTCCAAAATATTCAGTTACCCTACACATTTATTATGAATTGTAAACTAAAATATAGATGTTGAAAAAAATGAGAAAGTATTCATATATTATCTATCTTCATTTTATATTTAATATATCTTACTTTGACCAAAAAGTGACTTCAGCTATTCATATTGCATTGGAATATTCTTCTCTGCTGTCTTAAAAATAATCATTTACCCTACATATCGTTTGAGAGGTTCATTGTGCATGCTGTTTGAATTCATTTGTTTGTATTCTGCTTTATTCACATGCCACTCTGTCTGTGTAAATGTGTGTCCTGTGTATTGTACTGTATGTATTAGAGCTCTCTTTGCATGCCTCACCTCATACCTCCCATGCTTGAATACTGAGCCAGCACTGGATCCCAAACCCAGACCCCTGTCAGCTCATCCCACTGTCACTACCCTCCAGCCTTTGGAAGAGAGACCCACCTCCTTACTTCCTATCCCCACCCTGTGTCCCACAGAGAGGGGGTTAGGGTGTAGAGATGATGGAGAGGATGCAACTGGACAGTCCTGCAGTACCTTGACTCCGTCAGTGGGCGCAGACACAGCAGAGGATATGGTTGCACTGTCAAAGTGTTCTGCTGTGTCATAATATAGACAGTTTGAATAACTAAACCAAATGTGTTGCTGCTTAATTAACACAATTATGTTATCTCAGGTGTAAGTCTTAAGGACCTCGTGAAAAAACATAACGCTTTTAAGGCTTTTAGTGACTATGTGTTACAAACATTTAAGTAGTTTACGAGTGCTTCATGGGAATAAGCGGCCACTGTTATTTTGGAGGGATCTGCTTGTTGCAATTCTCTGATTGGTGGAGATGTCTCTGCAGAATCATGGGTAATGTAGTTTTTCACCAGGAATACACTGTTGAACATGATGATATAAAAACAATAATTTGAATGCAGTTTGATGGCTTCAGCAAAAGCATATACCATTAATTAACAACATCATAGCTCACAATAAGTCAAATCCCCAATATGGAGAAAATCAATGGGATTTTTACTTCCGGATCCTGAGCCTCTCTATTCTGCCTGGAACCAATTAGCAAGTAGCAAATCAAACAGGAAAACAGGAAATGAAACTGTGCTTGTCAAATGCTTTTAAGGAGTCTTTAACCAGTGTTAACTAGTCATGGTTCAGGCTAATTTCATATAGAGAAGCTAGCTGAAAATATGGATGTTATGTATTTTATGTTCCATACTGGTTTGTGCAAAATCATTTGATTGGACAAAAATAGCTTTTATTTTGTGCTAAGGTTAGAATCAGTGATATGTTCGTAGGCCTATATAGTTAGTAGGCTGTGTTGTAAATACACCTATAAAAGAATAAAGCATTTTGAATATCATTTTCAACAGTGTCTGTTTAGTGTCAGTTAGTGTCTATTACCTTTTATATACTGTATCAACAAATTTGTTACTCATTTTGTTCATCTCTCTTTTATTTGCTTTCTCTTGCTTACAGTCGACAAGTCAGAGCCTCATCTGGTCAAAGCATGCTAAAGAGCACAAGCGTAAGCGGTGACATCAACACGGAGCGAACAGACGGCAGCCAGTCTGACACTGCCCTGGGAACAGTTGGAACCGGAGCGAAAAAGCGGCGCTCCAGCCTCAATGCTCGATTCGTGGCTATCGTGGGAAACCGTCGCAGCCGAAGCACCTCACAGATCAGTCAAACGGGTTAGTCACTGTTGTTACTCCTTTTAATAAAAGTAGTATACCAATACATTTAAATCTTAATGAAAAAAATCATTTTATTCTTTTGCTGAATATTTTCTTTCACACGAAAATGTTTCATATGACAGAAATTAAATTCACTGTGAGTGTTGTTTTATGTTATATTTGACTGTAAATCATGTCATTGTTTTTATTCCCATTTAAATATGACATTTTTAAACACATTAATTACACTGTAAAAATAAGTAACAGACAGTTGTAATCTTAAGATTTTCTCAGGGGAGCCCAACCCTGCTCCTGGCGATCGACTGTCCTGCAAAGTTTAGCTCCAACTCTAATCAAAGACACCTGCCTTTAATTTTTAAGTGATCCTGAAGACCCTAATTAGTTGCTTAAGGTGTGTTTGATTAGGGTTGGAGCTGAACTTTGCAGGACAGTCGATCGCCAGGAGCAGGGTTGGGCACCCCTGTTCTAAATGATCTGACCCTTAAAAATTCCTTTATTGGTCTAACCCAGTGTTTCTCAACCCTGGTCCTGGGCGCCCCCCAGCACTACATATTTTGTGTGTCTCCCTAATCAAACACACCTGATTCAACTCATTAGCTCATTAAAAGAAACTCCAGGACCTGAAATGGGTGTCAGATAAGGGAGACATACAAAATGTGCAGTGTTGGGGGGGCGCTCAGGACCAGGGTTGAGAAACACTGGTCTAACCCAATGTAGGCAGGCTGATTTAGTCATATTTAGACTTGAATTAAACCCAACATATTCTCATTGAAACAGTTAGCCTCTACCTACACTTTTGTCTCCAAGAACAATTCATACATACTGCAGCTTCCAGCTGAAATGAACAATAGTGACAGTAAAACACCAACAATTATTTCTTTTCAAACTGATTATGATTACAGGCACAAATTATTGATTAATAAGGACTTTTTTTTTTCATGGTTCCTCACTAGTAAAAAAGTAATACATGAAAAATACATTTATTTAATACTAAGTACAGTATAGTTCAAATCTATTAATATATTTACTGGCATATCACTCGAGACTTATTGATATAACGATTATAATTAAACTTTATTTGGACTACTACTTGTGCACAATGCACATTTCTTAATATTAAGCCTCAAATATGTACAACATGCATACGTACAATAACCAACATAATAAAATGTTGCCACATTTACACTCATCTGTTTTGGGAAAAATTAACACTCTTTTATCACCACTTTTTAGTGCACATTTCACTCTGAAAGTGTTGTAAAACGTACCAGAAGCAACGTAATATCATTTAGCAGAAATTATAAAATAGGTTTTGTCCAATGAGCCTTGGAAACCAGTTCATTTAAATATTTTCAAGATTTCTATATTACGTGTTTTCACTAGACAACACAAGAGGGCACTCAATGTTTATGGAACTGCATTTTAGGCCTACCTTTCCTTTTTCACTTATGCTGAATTCAGAACTGCATACTAGCATACTACTCTTACTGCCATATAACGTTATGGTAAAAATAGTAAGAGTAGTATGATAGTACGCTGTTCCGAATTCAGCATTTGTTTTGATTAGTATCCTGCTATGAGTTCAAGTGTATGCTTTAGCTATGGTTTGACCTCATCAAACATGAGCAGGGTATTTTCAATGGGGTACCTGTGGCCATTTTAGTGCTTTCAGATGTCAGCACTCACTCTGCTTTGTTTGATATAATACGATTTTTCATCAGGCAACTCATGTCAGTGCCACAGAGCTTGTTCCTTTTGAAAAAGTCTTGAAAGCACATAAGACCTCCGGGCGAACTGCATTTTGTTCTCTCTGTTTTATGTAAGCACACAAAAAGGGATTTGGGATGAGGAGACATGCCCTAGTTTTTAAGCGAGATAAAGGGGGTGGTTAACGCAGTACGGTTAGCATCCATCCCGGTGGGAGCTACAAGCACTGTCAAATTATTTCGCTGTCTGCTTTTAACATCAAAAAGGATGTAGTATAGGAAAGAGATAGTGTGCAGCTTGACCAGTATTGTTTAGAGAGGACACTGATCCAACTCTTTAAAACTTTATCACAGAAAATCACATTCTTTTTTCTCTAAATGAATGATACAGACTTCTCTTAAAAGTCTCTTTTCCTGATTGTTTGTGAAATCTGTCCATCTTCAGAGGCATCCAATAAGAAGTCAAAGGGCAGTCAAGGGACGATCCAGCGCAGTCAGGAGACGGGAATGGCTGTGGAATTGCAGAGGAATATGAGTCGTCAACCCAGCCGTGAATCTAACAACGGAAGCATGAACAGCTACAACTCTGAGGGCAGGTAAGTTTCCTTCTGCTTTATTAGTATTTTAGCAAATGTTGCATACTTCTAAATGTATGCAGGAAGTTTTTTTATATATTGCACTGCCTTGGTGAAGCCAAACATCTGTTACATATTCTCTAAAACAACATGGAAACATTTGTTCTTATCATTTCATACCAATAGCGAGTTCTTGTACGTACATGTCTGTCCTAAAGCATGGGTCAGTTGGAGCAATTTCCTGTTTCTGTAAATACAGCGATACAGCATAATTTTACATTTTCCATATTTTTTTCTCTTCTGAAATTCCCCATCTTAAACCAAGGTTATTATTGTCTAGAAATAGCAGCCTCCTTAAAGGGGTCATAAGATGTTGCTAAAAAGAAAATTATTTGGTGTAATGAAATGTGTTTATGCGGTTTAAGGTTCAAAAAACACATTATTTTCCACATACTGTACATTATTATTTCTCCTCTATGCCCCGCCTTTCTGAAACACGTCGATTTTTACAAAGCTCATCGTTCTGAAAAAGCGATGTGTGCTGTGATTGGCCAGCTATCCAGTGCATTGTGATTGGCCGAATACCTCAAGTGTGTGACGGAAATGTTACGCCCCTACCATACTGTGATGATGCCCTGTCAGGCCGGAGCGATTATTCAAAAAAATGAAAACAGTAGTTTCACTTTCACAACGAAACAGCATCACACACGGCGGCCTAGAGTGAACAGAGGCCGGGGGCTGGAGTGAGGAACGGCCGGAGGGCTAGAGTGAGCAGAGGCGGCGGGCTTGAGAACGGTGCGGCTGGCGGATTCGACGAAGGAGCGTCCGGAGGGCTTGCGGCAACAACATGTGACGACCCCGGGCTGGACTCCGCTTCGTCCACGGTGAAATCCGATCCGTTGATCCACAGCGCAAAGTTGTTGTATTTCCTCAGCAACCAGCACAGATCAGCTCCAGGCATGACAAAGCGATATTGTCCTCTTTTGGAAGGCCAAACAAAGTAGTTGCGCTTTCACAACAAAACACACAGCGCCTTCACGACATGGCGGTGGCAACAACAAAACTACAGCGAGAATAATAGTTATGCCTGCTTACTTTGCGTGAACATTTGGGTGGCGTTAGGCAAATCTTCCCACATAGTGACGTAGATATGTGGGGGCGTGTTAGAACGAGCCGTTTTAGATGGGCGTGGCTGACTCTTAACTTTTATAAAGAATATCTATTTGGATTTGAGACTTTAGTCTTTGCAACTTTACAGATCTTCTTTATGCACCAAGAGCGTGTAACACTCCAAAGAGAAAGGAAAAATTGAAATTGCATCATATGACCTCTTTAAGTGCTGTTCATGTTACCCTGACAACCGTCAGTCAGGCATTGCCATTATGCCTAAAAAAACTGTTCAGTTTGTGGGAACAACATACCTGTATATAAACTTACAATACTTTGGGTACAATGATCATTAAAACTAGACTAAAAACTGAATTTTATCTCCAAAACTTTCAGATCCAATTACTGGATTTTTAAATGAATCTACTGTAAATCAGAAAGAACAGCACCTGCAGTATTTCATATCAATGTTTGTCTTGGTCAGTCCAATTTTCCCAGCAGTTCGAGTCGAGACTCAGTTCAGTGACTTCCTGGATGGACTGGGCCCTGCTCAACTAGTTGGTCGACAAACCCTTGCCACACCAGCAATTGGTAAGTTTTGTTTATCTGTGAAGTTTTAGATTTTTGTTCTTTAATCTTTCTCCCTTGTAGCATACTATCCTTATCCCAAGTTGTTTACAATTTGTATTCATTTATATACATTATTGTAGATGCAATTGATTGTGATTCATTTAAATAGTTTCATTCAATTAATTAATTGCATAATGTGTATAAATATTTGTTGAGAAAAGGCACCAATGTAATTTAAGACATTATATTATTGAGGTAGACAAATAGAAAGAATTTAGAATTTAGTTTATTTCCATATCATTGAATATAAGCCCTATACACATAATCAGTGGCCTACATTCCAATGTTGTATTATTATTATTATTATTATTGCACTTATAATTGTACTAAATACATTACATTTAATTTACAGCCCTCATTCACTTACATATTTCAGTACAAAATACAACAAATAACTGCTTATGGAAACAGTATGTCGGTAATGCTTTTTGCATGAACCATTTGAGTAAGTCCATTAAGCAAATGTACCATTTAAATAAATCATTTTATTTGCGTATTCTGTGATGTCCAGGTGACATTCAAATTGGCATGGTGAATAAGAAAGGCCAGCTGGAGGTGGAGGTGATAAGAGCACGAGGTCTCATCCAAAAACCAGGGTCCAAATCACTCCCCGGTGAGTCACTTCTGCTCTATTCTGAACTCGCTGCTTCTGATTCAAACTCCATATGTCTCACACTACTCAGCCATAATATAACTCATCAAGCAGTTCTAGCTGATACAAAAAGCAGCCTGATTTATCAGAGCTAGTCACACTAATGTCAGTATGCACTGTTAATATCTGCCTAATTTGATTCATTCTTTACATAGCTCCATATGTCAAAGTCTATCTTCTACACAATGGGGCTTATGTAGCTAAGAAGAAGACAAAAATTGCACGCAAGACACTCGACCCGCTGTACCAGCAAACGCTGCAGTTTGAAGAAAGTCCACAGGGTAAAGTGTTACAAGTGAGTCATGTGGTTAATTGTCTTTTTTCAACATGTCGTTTCATTTTGCAGCTGATGAGGCAGTCGAACGAGTCTTCTTGGAGAAAATGTCATTTGAAGGGCTGCGTGTCTAGTTTAAATGGATCACACTTGTGAGATTAGATATTATTAACTTTGATTATGTGACCTGAGAGGGCCATCCACTGATGAATCTGTTGATTTTCATCCTATTAGGTAATTGTCTGGGGAGATTATGGGCGAATGGACCACAAATCCTTCATGGGAGTTGCACAAATCCTACTAGAGGAGCTGGACCTCTCCAGCAACGTGATTGGCTGGTACAAACTTTTCCCGCCTTCTTCCCTAGTCGACCCAACTCTTGCCTCTCTAACTCGACGTGCTTCTCAGTCATCCCTGGACAGTTCGCCGGCACCTGCGGGGGTTCGATCGTAGTGGACTAATAACATAAAGCACAGTCTGAGAGACAACAGGACAACAATAAGAGCCAGGCAGAAAATGCGATGAAATAACACAAAGCTTTGTTCAAATCTGACAATCACTCCTGTGACTTTGTTTTTGTTTTCCTGTTTGTGGGTAGCCCGTGTTCTGCCAACTTTGTTTGTCCTAAATGAAATCGTTTGTTTCTCTCACTGTTTGTCGCGTGAGATTTAGGGCTGTCTACACTAGCACGCGGGAAGCACCACTTTAGGGCGACATAGAAAGCAGGGTGATATTCAGTCAAGTCTTCATTGAAATGTACGTAAGCTAGTTTTTAACAGAGCATCAGAATGTATCAACCCAAAAACAAAGGTGACCTCTGACCAAGGGATTGTGGGGCCTCAGTCGAGGCCCTATCTAAACCCTGTTTGTACTGAAAGTGAAAGGTCAGGAACTTGAAAGACATAGGGCGTCCCCTGGGGAGGTTGTCTGGAAGGGCAGGGCCTTTCTTGGTGCCTAAACCTGGAGGACCCAAAGCCATGGTCCATTTCATCCAAAAAGGTTCCTCTGTTTTCAACATATGTGACAGCTAACGGAGGCCACTCTCGTCACTTATTTAGCTTCTTTTTTTAACATCTCTAGCACGTTTTATGAAAAACAACAGGTTTGTGTTGTCCAGTGTACTGTGAAAATTACAGGAAATGCTAAAAATGAAATCGAAGACAGCGTATCTGGAAATACACACATTTCTTTGCAGTTTTTTTTTTTACTTTTGTTAACTGAAACTATTACATTATCCTACAGTACGTTGCAATACATCATCTTATTCAGTGAATTGAATTCGATTTTTAGATGTTTACACTTATCATTAAATGCTATTAAAAAGTAGATATTTAGTTAATGAAAAACACTATGTACCAAGATAAACATATTTGTGACCCTGGACCACAAAACCAGTCTCAAGTTGCTGGGGTATATTTGTAGCAATAGCCAAAAATACATTGTATGGGTCAAAATGATTGATTTTTCTTTTATGCCAAAAATCATTAGGACATTAAGTAAAGATCATGTTCCATGAAGATCTTTTGTAAATTTCCTACTGTAAATATATTAAAACATAATTTTTGATTAGTAATATGCATTGCTAAGAACTTCATTTGAACAACTTTAAAGGCGATTTTCTCAATATTTAGATTTTGTTGCACTCTCAGATTCCAGATTTTCAAATAGTTGTATCTCGGTCAAATATTATCCTATCCTAACAAACCATACATCAGTGGAAAGCCTATATATTCAGCTTCCAGATGGTGTATACATCTAAATTTCGAAAAATTTACCCTTATGACAGGTTTTGTGGTCCAGGGTCACATTTGTGTACTTGTACATTTTCCAATTTAGGGTCTTTGGTAATCTATAGGAAATCTATACAATTATGTTTTCATCTGTTGAGTAAATCTTGATACATAGAGTTTTTCAGACACTAAACTAACTTTGTTTGATGCTAAGTGTTTGTGCAGACATACATTTCTCTTTTTAACATAGTATGTGGTTTAGCAAAAGCCACTTTCAATTTATACTGTACCATTCTGAGGTCACACGATTGGCCCGAGCCCTTGCACATACAGTACGTCTTTATTTTGAATTAAAAGCGCAATCTCAAAAGCTTGATTTTAATATATAAAAAATAAAATCAAGCCAACTAGCTTGTTAATTGCATTTCCACTTTGTGTATTTTTCAGAAAACAGAGAAAAGAGCCATGCAAATGCAAATTCCTGTTGTGTGTCTCTGTAAATGTTGAAGTGACCAGTCCGATTTTGCCATCACGAGCATAAACACTAATCACCAATCAGGCCACTGGCCCCTCCCTCCAGTGCAGCGGAGCAGCATGACTCGGATCAGTTCCCAGCTGCATGCACATTTTTGTAAATCAGACTACACAAATGTTAAAAAGTAACAGAAATAGATATGTGTTAGTTCAACATACTGTAGGCCAGCTTGTATGTTGCATGTACCTGTACAGTTTGCTTGTACTTGAATATAAGAGATAAACCAAGAAAAATAAGCCATTTGCTTTCACTCAGACTTTTCAGATCAGCTAAAAAACTAGTTTATGTCCTCCATTCGGTGCTGAAAATTTTTCTTTTTTTCAAGTTTTTGATTATTGCTTTTTAGTCTTTTATATCCCTTAGGGGAAAATGTGCTGTACTGTAACACTGAACAAAAACTAACCCTCCCTGTATCATAATTTACCTCAAAACCACAGAAATTAACCTAGAAATTGTGTATACATCCCATCAAGTTATTCAAGAGTATACCGATATCAAAACAGGAAATGTCAAAAATATATCATACATACATAACAGTATCCATGTTAAATATAAATGTAGATGCACAGAGACTTATTAGCGCATGTGTTGTAAATATGAGATGACCATGTGGTTAAGCCATATTTGCAAAGGGGCCAAGGCTTACTTTTGAGAACAACCATCCCAATACGAGGGACCGCTGAGCGGACACCTTTCTTATCATATGGGTCCAAATCTAGAGCTCTCACTGTCACTTTTAGAGGGCCGAACCACTCCGCTCTAAAGCTGTAGCCAGATCGTCATTTTCTCTGTGCTTTCCAGCCAAGTTCTTCACCTCTGCTATCAGAACATTTGGATTGTTTTTCTTCATGAGAGACAGGTGTTTCTTTTACTTGATCAGTATTCTTGGGTAGAGGAGAAAAACAATGCTGACTGTTTACAACTTCTAGTATGTGTTCCACTGAGATGATGAAAAAGAAAAAGTATTCACTGCAACATTTCTGTTTGTATACAGGTGTGGCTCATACGATGTGTATGTTTTATATTTAAAAAAAAAAAATGAAAAGAGTTCATTTTTATTATTTCCAAATAATAAAAAAAAAAGTGTGTGAAAGAAATTTCAACCCAATGTTTGTTCTTTTCTTGTTCATGAAACGTTTTATTTATCAACAGTGATTAGACAAACAGACTTAAGCCCATATATTACCCCAGATTTGAGAAAGTTAGAAAATAAATCAAAGTAATCACTGCTTTTGACCTGCACTTATACTTCCAACATTTCTGACCAAATATTTAATCATCTAATAGTGCTTTTCTATAATGTTGCCTCTGGCCAGTACCCTCTAAGGTTTTGTTTAGGAGCAATAACATCTGTATGCAATCGGTCTTGTATATGACCCCATTCATGACCTTTCTGAGGACCACAGGAAGTTTCCATCCATTTTCCACAATCACAACAATAGCAAAAACATTAAATATTTATAATGTCTCACAATAATACTATATGTGCATAAGTGTAGGCTATGTGAGTGGAAAGAAAACCAAAATACAGAGAAATTAAAGTCTCATTCATGACATCATCCAACTTACAGCAGCATTATGGGAAGCTAATCCATGTGGGAGGCTAGCTAGTTGTCACGCATCTTGCCCAATAATGGAACATGTTGTCACGGTGTTAAGAATCTGTCATTCATTTTTATATTATCCACCTTATTTTGCAAGGCAAAATGTAAGCGTATTTTATAGCCAAAATAAATAATAACTTGAAGAATAACAAATGGTTAAGTTATTTCCTCTACAAACCAGTGTGTTTATAATTAATACATTACCAATAAAGTTGAAAGGCTTTTTCTGCATCATTTAAATAGGTATTAAACATCACAGGTGTCATTCATGGGTGGGACACTAAGTCAGTTCAGTCCAAATATATTAAAACTTAATTTTTGATTAGTAATATGCATTGCTAATGACTTCATCTGGACAGCTTCAAAGGCAATTATCTCAATATTTTGATTTCTAGTACGAATTTCCAGATTCCAGATTTTCAAATAGCTGTACCTCGGCCAAATAATGTCCTATCCTAACAAACCATAGGGGAGAGCAGGGCACAAAGTAACACTTTTTGACTTTCTCAGTTTGTCTAAATCCACATAGGGTTCAGAGTATAATTTTTGTATCCACAGTAATTTCACACTTGTCTAGTACAAATATGTCGCTTTGTTTCATAATTACAGTGTATACATTTTTTTTTATTTACCCTCAAAAATTGGAAGGGAAATGTGACAACATGCCCCATAGGTGGGGTACATTGTAACAGCTGAGGGGCACGTTGTAACATGACCATATGACAGCTTAAAATGTTATCTGATCACATGAAAAAAAAATATACAAGACAAACTAAAATATTTTGTCAATAAGATAAAATAATTATTTCAAATAAAATAATGGCATTTTTTAAGAATTAAAAATAATCTGATTTTGGAATTTGACAATGAACACATTGCAACCATGCTTGGGACGGCCCACATAAACGAGCCAAAATGCTTTACATGTCTTGCAATAATAATTTCTTAACATTGAACATTGACTGTCAATATTTATTCACCTGTTTCTCGTCATTTATCATTAAAATGTATTAAAGTAAATAGTCTGAATTACATCACTAATGTCATAGAATAGCCCGGCAGGGCACATTGTAACACAGTGTTACAACATACCCCATCTGCGCAACTGGAATTTAAAACCGGTTACTGTCTTCTGATAGTTAGCGAAGCATTAAAAAATTATCTAAACTGATAAATAA